CAACAAATATTTCATCATCAAAGTCCAAAACATAGTCCAGAATAACGTGTTGTTTTATCAAAAAATTTTCATTTATATATAACTTCACTTGGTGTTGGATAAATCACAACATCTTCATCTGACACACACATATAGCTAGGCCTCATGCTGTCTTTTGTATTTACTATTCAGATAATGAATTCTTTGTCATTGAGTTTAACCTTAATTTTCATATTAATTCTTATTTGGATAAGATATGTTGCATTTTCTTTATTAATAAAATTCCACAAATAAATACTGAATGGACACAATGGATAGTTTGATTGATTTCGCCAGGTGCTTTCGATATTTTTGGCGACAAAATTTTAATAAAATGATCGACACTGAATTCATAGACGGATCATCAATTAAGTTTATTATTTATTATTATTTATTATAAACTCTGGCAATTGCTATATAGTTTTAAAATTAAACTTTTTTTCATTTTCAAACAAAATGGCAGGAGATAATAATTGTAAAAAAGTTTTATTCAAATTACCCTTTTTTTTTTAATAAAAATATAATTAATTATTTGTTTGATTAAGAATAGCTCTTATCAAGGATCCTGTATTTGAACGCTGGGCAGATTACCGTACTAACCCAACACCATATTTTCGCTGGACAAATAGAACAATTAAATTGTCACTAATATATTGTGCGGCCATTCCCCTTGGAATTTATTGGCTTGCTATTAAATCAGATGTAATCATTTATTTTTTTTTAGTTATTTAATCAATAAATAATTATAATAATGCTAATCAACATCTATCTTATTATTTTTTTTTTTTATTAAGAGTAAGATTGATATTACTGCACTCAATAGGAAACAATCATTAAAGGATGCAATTATAAAAAAATAATTAAGTAATTTTTTTAGCAAGAAGAATCGAATTTTTCCCATTATCCCAAGTTCAAGTTAATTGAAAAAGGAATTTTTGTTTTATAAATGTTGATTATATTTAAATAAACAATCCAAAAAATCATAAATCTTCAATTAACAGGTAGTCATCAGCTATGGAGCATCATCATTGATATCATCCCCATATAAAGCAGTACCCTTCAGACAAGGGAAAGCTAATTTACAAGAATACTATTTATAAAACAAAACATTTACTGTACAACAAATTTTTGCATTAAACAAAGAAAGGGAGGGGCTAGATCTATGGTCAATTGATAAGCCAACATTCAAAGATAATTTGGTAAGATTTACACTCAATAATGTTAGTAGTTTGTATGCTATATAGCTTGGGACTTTGCTTCAGCACTTTAACCAACAATCATTTATGGACATAAAGGTGTTTGTCATTAACTTATTTTTTAAAAAATACATTAAAGAATCTAAAAATTCTATTCATTTAATTATTTATAATTTATTTATAATTGAATAGCAACTTTGTATTCAAGAAGTTCACGTTCATTCAAAGAACAATTTCTTAAAAATAAAGATGCAAATGGAATGTCTATAAGATCAGTCAGGTTGTCAATCTAGAACCTTTGATTGTTAAAGCTGATGAAGATCCAATAGTGTTTAGGCAAGAATTGAATTTTTATATTGATGAGGAATTTTTGGTGGCTGTGGATACAACTGATGAACTGGAGCAAGATAAATTAAAAGAAGATTTATTATACATGTTTAAATCAAAAATTGTATACTGATGTTGAATTAATTTTAGATCATTCTGACAATGGTGATTTAGATATCGTAGTTGAAGAAGAAGAAGAAGACAATGATCATCAAAAATTAACACCAGTCACCTTCAAAGCTCATAAGCAACAAATGCTACATCTTTTTCATTTACATCTATATCTTCAACACTTATGTCATCATCAAAAGCCCACTTCAAAATCATCACCAATAATAATATCTAAAGTTCCTTTATTAAAATGACTAAATCAAATTCAGCTAAAGCGTACAGTATCAACACCCTGCATCATCAGGTGCATCATCAATCTCTTCTACAAGTATTGCTGTCAAGATGACCCAGTTATAAGAATACTAATGGAGTGAAATAGACAAGGTCTAATATGTTATGTCAAATGAAATATGATGATGCAGAACAAAGGCATGTCGTGATAAAAATCACTGTTGCCATCATCAAGAGCCAGTTCCATTACATCAGTATCATTAGTGAAAAGTGATTTTACTATAACTTCAGTACATCATAGAAAATATTCACCACCATTGCAGGCCCCATATACAGCATCCATCACTTCAGTATCAAATGGTACAATAATCAGTCTGCAATTCAAACCACACCAGATTAAATTAGCCATGATTTCTAACCTTGATATTTCAGTTGGTAGACATTTTAGGTGAAATTTAATTTGCTAAAGGTATCTGGGTTGGAATAGAATGAGATAACCCTTGTAAGTAATAATAATAATGATAGTGATAATGGTGATTTTGATAATTCATTAATATAATAATGATGAAAATCAATTGATTTTGCAAAATAATTTAAAAATGAATATATAGATTAATATAAGAGCAAAAATTTTTTTGATCTATTTTTAAAAATCAAGTTTATTTATTTATTCCTTTAAAAAAAATTTTTTTGAAATATTTTATTTTATCATCATTTCATAAACCAAATTTAAAAAAACCACATAATAATGTGCATCACCAAAACAAATAACAATAAATAAAATAATTATATTCCCCAAAATTATTTTTCTCTCCAATTGCACAAGATTATGATATTATTTTAGCACAAAGAGCTTTAGAAATATTTAACCAATAATTTAATTACAATATAAAAAGGCTATTGGTTTATTAAATTAAGCCAATAATTAATTAAAAAATAGGATTAATTTTAAA